CTGCCTCAGAAACCCAAGGAAGGGTCGCTATGAGTCGGGTCCGACTCCACGGCACATAACAACAACAACATATATTTGTGTGGTGTATGTATTACACGGATATGTGTAATGTGTGAGTGTGCGTGTGTGTGATATATGCATGTGTGTATATGCATAGATTGTGTGGAATATGTGTATGTGATAAGTGTGTGTGTGGTATGTATCAGGTATGTGTGTGTACGTGTGGTGAGTGTGCATGTGAATGTAGGTGTGTATATATGTGTGGTATGGGATGTTTGTATGTGTGTAGTATTTTGGGGGGTTATGTGTATATATATATATGTGTGTGTATACATATAAATGTGTGTACATCAATACATGCATATACACACGTATATATGTGAGGGGCTCTGGGGGCGCAGTGCCTAAGGCACTTGACTGCCAACCAAAAGGTTGGTGGTTCAAACCCACCAGCTGCTCCCTGGAAGGAAGGGAGTGCAGTCTACTTCCGTAAAGACTCACGACCTTGGGGTCGCTGTGAGTTGGAATCGATGTGGCAGCAGTAGGTTTGTTTTCTGGTTTAGGGTATATATGTCTATCGTTAGGTGCCTTCTGTTTGGCTCTGGTGGGAATTCCAGAACACTTAACTGTGCCCATAAGGAACCTGTATGTAGACCAAGAGGCCATTGTTGAACAGAACAAGGGAATACTGTGTTGTATATATGTATGGGAGGGTCTGTATATGTGTAGGATATGTGTGGTGTGTATGTATATACATGTGGTGCACATGTCGTGTGCACATGTGTATGTAGGATGTGTGTATGTCGTGTGTATGTATATATGTGTGGTGCATGTGTAGTGTATGTGGGATGTGTGTGTCATGTGTGACACGTGTGTATGTATATATGTGTGATGCATGTGTTTTTTGTGTGGGATGTGTGTGTATGTGGGATGTGTGTGATATGTGTGTGTTATGTGGGATGTGTGTATATGGGGGATATGTGTGACGTGTGTGCATGGGATATGTGTGCATGTTGGGGGTGTATGTGGGATATGTGTGTGTGTCGTGTGTGGGATGTGTGTGTCAGGTGTGGGATGTGTGTGTATATGTGGGATATGTGTGTGTCATGTGTATGGGATGTGTGTGTCAGGTGTGTGTGTCGTGTGTGGGGTGTGTGTGTATGGAATATGTGTGTCGTGTATGGGATGTGTGCGTGTCATGCGTGGGGAATGTGTGTGTGTGTCGTGTGTGGAATTTGTGTGTCGTGTGTATGGGATGTGCGTGTCGTGTGGGGGATGTGTGTGTGTCGTGTGTGTGATGTGTATGTGGAATATGTATGTGTGTATGGGATGTGTGTGTGTCGTGTGTGGGATGTGTGTGTCATGTGTGGGATGTGTGTGTATATGTGGGATATGTGCACGTCATGTGTGAGGGATGTGTGTGTGTGTCATGTGTGGGATGTGTGTATATGTGGGATGTGTGTGCGTGTCATGTGCACATGCATGGGAGGAGTTGTAGTCCCGTAGAACCAGCCCTGGGTTTCCCCAGCCTCGTGTGACCACTGCGTCACCGCCTTTGTCCCCTCTGTCCCGTCCTCGTGCCCCACAGGACACCACTCAACTCGACACTCACTCTCTCTGGGGGAAGCTCTTTTCCCTTCTCTGTACAGGACGCTACTGCCTAGAACCAGTGTGTCGCTGCCTAGGGCCACATGACCTTTTTCCAGCCTCGGGGGGCCCAAGCCGGGCACAGGGAGGCCCCTCACAGTGGCCCTGGCCTTTCCCACCACAGTGGCTCTGTCATCCCCCCGTGTTGCATCTGAACTCACATTGCCCAGCAAGCTTTTCTGACTGGGAAGTGTCTTTGTCCTGCGGGGCCCATCAGTTCCCCCACACACACACCGCCCTTCCCTGGCAGTTACAGCTGTTGGGAGGTTTATGGGCCAGAGAACTCCAGTCCCTTCTCTCCTCCGATTAGAGCCTTTAGAGGTCAAGCGAGAACCCCTCCTGCCAAGTGTGCTGGTCTTTCTTTTCAGAGGGCCGGCTGGGTTGTGGGAGGTTTAATCAGCACTGGAAGGCTGACCTGGGCAGGGAGGGGGTCGCGACTGGGGCACAGGGGCACCCGGAGTGCTGGTAACTCACGTCCCCTGGGACTCCCAGCCCTTCCCCATGACTGTTGCTCCCCAGGGTCTTTGGTGGCTACCCTGGGTATGTGCAGGGAGCGGGCACCTGAGAAAGATCAGCAAACCCAGGTGCCAGGGGCTCTCTCCATCTCCGTCCTAGGACATCCCCACCGGCGCAGACAGCTGTGTGACGAGCCTGTCCTGTGACTCCCACCGCTCCCTCATCGTGGCTGGGCTTGGTGACGGCTCTGTCCGGGTCTACGATAGGCGGATGGCACTCAGCGAATGGTAAACAACCCCTACTTTCCTGGGTGTGTGGCCCCCACCACCACTTTGCCAGGTCCTGGCCCTGACTTATCTCTCGGGAAATGTAGAGCTTCCCTGGGGACATTCAAGCAAGAGGCCCACAGGCCCACGGCCCCATGGCCCCACAGGCCCATGGCCCCATGGCCCCACAGGCCCACGGTCCACGGTCCATGGCGCCACAGCCCACAGCCCATGCCCCAGAAAGCATAGGGCTGCCTAGCCCAGGTGTGGGTGTGGGGAGGGCGTCTTGGCCAGGTGCCCGCTCCTCACCCGTGACCCCGCATGGCATCGCCTCCTGCCTCTCCTGGTTGGGTGTATGGAGACTGGAGGATGGCCTGAGCTTGCCACCCAGCCCTGAGGCAGGCAGGAGCCGGGGCCCCCACTGAAGACAGTGGGCCATGTGCGTGGGGAACGGGTGGTGCAGCTGAAGGGCCTCCCCACCAGTCAGGGACAGGCAGGTCAGGGCCTGGGGGCAGGTCAGGGCCCGGGGGCAGGGACGCTGTATTGAGAACCAGTCTTCTGAGAGGACAAGCCCATTAACCCCATGTCCTAGTAGTTGGCCTGATGCAAAGGGCTAGAGGAGACCCAAGGCCCTGAGATGCTTCTGGGTGGAGCGGTGAGCGGAGCTGAGCTTGAGGGACCACAGCCTGGGGCAGTGGCGAAGACACGGCCCGTCCACGGGGAGGGGCGCGGCGGGCCAGGGGCAGCCTTGAGGGGTAGTCTGGAGGGAACAGGGCAAGCCAGCCTAGCGATCTAGCCCAGCCACCCCGGGAGCCCGCCTTGCTGCAGGCACGTGCTTCATCTCTGTTCAAACAGCAGACCCTATGGCTTCCTAACAGCCCTGGGGCATGCCGCTGCCAGGACACAGCCCTCACCCAGCCTGGGGGCTTTGATGGGCGAATGAATCGTTTCCCATAGAGGGGTCAGCATGAGGCCGGTCCCTATGGGTTCCCATGAGGCAGAGGTTAAAGACGTCCCAAACATCCACCTGTTCCACACTGCTGTAACACTCCGTCGTCTCGGACGTCAGCTCCCCTCCTCCCCTCGGAGTCCCCCTCCCCTCAGAGCTCCCCCTCCTCCCCTCAGAGCTCCCCCTCCTCCCTTCCCTGCCCCCCTCCTCCTCCCCTCTGCTCCCCCCCTCCCCTCCCTCTGCTCACTGCTCCCCCTCCCATCTTTGGGTGCCGTTATTCACTCACCAGCTCACAGACCTCTTGACCCGTACATACGGGTAAGTGGTTGATTAGGGAAGTAAGGGTACAACTCAGGATTGGGGTCAACCTGGAAGCAGCAGGAATAACTCAGGTCGCAGTTTTTGCTCAGGACCCTTCCTACCGCCTGCTCCTGGGCGAGGGCTACAACATTTAGCTCCCTGAGTTAGCAGGCCCCGCCACAGCTGCCCAGTCCTGCCGCCTGGTCCTGCCGCCAGGCGCCCCGGCTCTGGCTGTCCTCCACATTGCAGCCCCCCGGGTCTCTCTCAGCCTAGCGGGAAGGCAGAGCTAACCGATCCCAGTGCCCTCGTGGAGGTCCCATACAGCTCATTGGCACGGGCCCACCCCCACGAGGGTTCCACACACGTTATTCACACTGTCAGCAGGCTGTCCAGTCACCTCAGTGGGCCGCAGGCAGCTTGTTGGGTGGGAGTTACACGTCTGTAGTCAGAAGGGCCACAAGTGAGTCCCTGCACCACACTGCCAGGTCACAGCCCCGCCACTGGCCCACCGCTGCCATCCTCCACCCCTTACCCCTTCCCAGCCCCACACCTCCCCCACCGGCAGGCCCCAGGCTGCCCCTCTCCACATGCCCAAGCTCAGGTCTCCCCTGCCTGCCCGGCCCCACATCTGCCCCCGACACCGCCCGCCCGGTCCTGTCTCCTCCCACGACCACCTGCCCCGCCCCGGGCCCCCGCCTGCCCGGCCTCATATCCCTGCCTGATCAGGTCTCCTCCTGCAGCCGCGTCATGACGTACCGCGAGCACACAGCCTGGGTGGTGAAGGCGCACCTGCAGAAGCACCCCGAGGGTTACATCATGAGTGTCAGGTAAAGGGCCAGCCGGGGGCACCGCACCCGCACTCACAGCCCAGCCTGGGAGGTCAGGGCACAGGGACGTGTTCTGGCGTCCGCCCGGCCTCCTGCACGACCGGCACCCTCCCCAGCTCTCTGCCGCAAAGCCTCTGTCCACTCGGTGAGCCCTGTGCTGCGAGCAGCGGGGTTTATCTGCCCGTTCAAGGGCCAAGACACCGTTCACTGTCACTGTCACTGTCACAGAGCCACGTTCCACTCAGGGCATGCCCTTCTTTTCATCCTCATCTGAAAAGTCATAGCTCTGAGGGGCCTTGCCCGGGCGGGCTCCAATCCCTGCCGCAGACAAGCCGGGGCGCTGCCGTCTGCATCTGTGTGGCCCAGCTCCCCCGGCCTGGGGCTCACGGGGGTGTTCAGAGTGCCCGGGCTGGGCTGGACCCATGGACTGGTGGGCCGAGCCCACAGTGTCACTGTGCCCCCCCTCGGCAGTGTCAACGGGGACGTGCGTTTCTTTGACCCCCGCATGCCTGAGTCCGTGAACTTGCTCCAGATCGTGAAGGGGCTGACGGCCCTGGACGTCCACCCACAGGCCAACCTCATCGCCTGGTAGGTCCCCGCCAGGATGGGCTGCAGAGATGGGATCGCACGTCCTCCCTGTGGCACTGCCCACCCAGAGGGACAAGCCCTTGGCTTCCTGGGTCACTCCCCGGCCCCCAGGCCAGCCCGCGAGGCAGTGCGATCGGCCCAGCTGGGGCAGAGCTCAGGGCTCCGAGCCTTTGCGAGGCTGACCGAGGAGGAGTCCGTGCCCAGCCTTCTCAGCGGGCAGCCTTCCTCCAGTGTGCAGAGCGCTCCCGCTGAGGGGGCTGTGCCTGCACCACCCGGACGCCCCGAACCCCCCCGTCCCCACAGCGGCTCAATGAACCAGTTCACCGCCATCTACCACGGCAGCGGGGAGCTGATCAACAACATCAAGTACTATGACGGCTTCATGGGCCAGCGAGTCGGAGCCATCAGCTGCCTGGCCTTCCACCCTCACTGGGTGTGTAGCTCTGTGCCCGGGGCAGGGGAACGGGGGGATGTGGGCCATGCGGACTGCTCATGGGGCCCCCCACCACCGGCCACCCTGAGGGACTCCAAGACACCAGGGCTCCAGTCCCCAAAGATCACCCTCATCTCTGTGGGCACCCACGGCGTGTTGGGTGGTTCTGAGTTAGGGTGCTGCTCCCCCGCAGCATGAGGCACTGGGAGCCTGGGGGCGGCTTGCCGACAAGCCTGGTGGTACTGGGTGCCTGAGCTGGGAGTCCTACGAACAGTGTAACCCCCAGTCTCAGGGTGTGCGGCCCCTCACCCCAGCTGCCTGCCCACCATGCCCCTCGCCCCCTGCTCTCGGGCTACACACCCTTGCCCTCTGCTCTCGGGGTACGTGCCCTTGCCCCAGCTGCCTGCCCACCATCCTTCGCCCTGCTCTTGGGCACGCGCCCTTGCCCCCACTCTCAGGCTACATGCCCTCACCCCCTGCTAGGATACGTGCTCTCACCCCAGCTGCCTGCCCACCGTGGCCTCGCCCCTGCTCTCTTGCAGCCTCACCTGGCAGTCGGGAGTAACGACTACTACATCTCCGTGTACTCGGTGGAGAAGCGGGTCAGATAGTGGCCTCGGCCGGGGCCCTGCCAGCACTGCCCACCATGTACATAGAGAAGGAGCCGGAGCGGGGGGCCGCCTGCACGCTGCGAGTGACGTCGGTCCTGATGGAGCTGCGGGGGGAGGTGCACACATAGGCGCACACCGGGCTCCCGGTGACAGCTGGGAAGTCCGGGAAGGGAGGGCCACCGGGGCCACTCTGGTCCCACGGCTGCCTCGCAGCCGAGAACATGGGACGGTCCCTCTCCACTCGCGTTTCTCTTCTGAGGCCTATCCCGGGGCAGCGCAGGCATGTCGTCCGCCATCGGCAGAGCGCTGGCTGCAGACGGGTACCCAGACAGCTCACATCCTGGCCAACAGGCAGCCCCGAGCTCGGGGTCCCTCTGCCACCCCCTCAGCTGAGACCCAGCGAGCGAGGGAGCAAGGAGAAACGGTTGCCCCCTGTGTGCCTGGGAGCCTCCCAAGCCAGCCAGAAGACACTGGAGATGAGGCCACCAGGAAGGGGACACTAGACACCGCCCTGAGCTGCTCCCGTGCCTGGGCACAGGGTCCCCTCAGGCGGCCTGGCCCACAGGTGCAGGCAGTGAGGACGGCAGGCCCCTCCCTCGGAGACCCCTGCAGTAGTCATGTTCTCAGTCACCAGCCCTCGCAGCAAACAGAGCAGTGGTGAGGGCTGCGGCCCTGGACAGATAGGCAGGTCCTTGGTCACAGCCACCACCTCACCCAGAGCTGGCCCCTCTCTGAGGCACTGCCCTCCCTGCCCGGCCAGCACATGGGTGACACGTGCGTGGGGAGCACAGTCCCTCACCCCGATCTGCACACACATGTACATGCGTGCAGGGGAACCACCCGGGCCTGGTGTAGCACGCGGGCACACGGGCACCATGGTCTCCTGCTGACCCCCACATGTGCACACATGTATATGCAGCACCCTAGTCCCCCAGCCACGCATACACACGCGTGTGGACACCAAGGCACAGCTAGATCCCCAAGAGTGACAGTGGGTAACAGGCCCTCCCAGGGTGACAGCCCTCCAACCCTCTGGCCCGCATGCTGGTGTAACTAAAACATGAGTAGCAGTCTGACGGGCAAAGAGTCCCTCAGTGGTCACGTCAGAGTGTGTGTGTGTGGGGGTGCATGGGTGTGAGCACACGTGTGTGTGTACATACATGTGTGTACACACAAGTGAACTGATCAGTGAGTGTGCATGCTAGTGTGGTAGGCGTGCATGGTTATGCTGGTGCATGTGTGTGCACATGCATGTATATGGTGTGAGTGGGGGTGAGTGTGTGCACTCACGTGGGAGCTGACGGGAGCCGCGTGCTGACTCCCCAGGAGGGACCAGCCCGGCTGAGTGGCTGCAGACTGACAGTGCTTTGTAAACAAAGCGGCCACAACCATACTCGGGAGAGCTTTCCTCCATTTTTCCTTAGGAATCATGACTACTCAGAAGACAGGTGGGGGCTGCTGCAGTAACTGCCAGAAAAGGCCGGTAGCAGCGGGACCGTGGATGCAGTTGGGTTGGGGCCGTGTCCCTGGTGCTCGGCCTGGGCCCGGGGGGCAGTGCTGGGCTGGGACCGGGTGGCCTGTGGTGGCTTCATCCATGTTCTAGGGGCCAGAGCCTCGAAGGGTCAGGAGGGTGTGTGTGGGGGCCCAGGGGCTGGCCACACCCTCCAGAGCTCAGCTCCGCCCACAGACACTGACCGGCCCGTAGCAGACGGCAGGCGGCTCCTGGGAGCCCCACGCCTGGGCGGCTGCACCCACTGCCCACTCGGCCGCACGGGTGGGTGCTCACAGGCTGATGTGAAACAATCATGACGCTCACCAGGGCAGCAGTGCCCCCTGAAGCTTCACTGTCTGTTTATTTCACAAAGTGCAAGTTGAGACTGGAGACAAGTGGGACTGTGGCGTGCACTGAATGCGACTAGCTGTCAATAAACGTGACGCAGAGAGCTGGCTGTCACTGTCGGGGAAGAGCGTGTGTCCGCCACTGCCCCTGCCGCCGCCTCGCGAGGGTCCCCTGCCCCACTGGTCCACAGCAGGGCTGCTGAGTGTGGGGACGAGTGTAGGGGGATGGGGGCCGGGGATGGACTGCAGAGGTGGCCACCAGGCCCATCCCTGGGGCCCCGCCAGGAGCTCTGGGCCTGGTGTGTCCCCTAGGGCAGTAGTGGACAGGAAAAGGCACCCCCCCCCGGTCAGGCAGCAATCTGACTCGGTGAGAGCAGTATGTCCAAGAAATAGCCCCACCATCCAGCCCTCGGCTCTGCTGCCTTGCACCTGTCACCCAACTGACCATCCTGCAGGCCCCAGCCAGACCCTGACACCATGTCATGGGTTGGCATGTTTCTACCAGAGCCAGGAGCAGCCCCGGGTCACTGCCGGGGATAAGGACACCCAGAGTCGAGAGCCCGGCAGGCAGAAGAGGGGGCCCCGTGGGTCATCTCACTGGCCCCCTCAGCCCTGGGGATGGCAGCAGGAATGGGGTCACTTATGCATCCTGTTCGAGGCTGTGTGCAGAGACCCCTGCTCCCCATGTGGGGGCTGGGGTGCACCCAGGAACATGGTGCGACTCAACCTGAGGGCGTTCAGAGACTGTTTAGGAAGACTCGTGTGTGCTGCCTGGTGCCGAGACTGGCCACACCATCACCCCTGCCGTGGCCACTGCCCGGGCGAGGTCTCCTGGAGAGGGTCAGTGGCCCGAGAGACCGCCACTCACCAGCACATGCTGGCAAAGACCTTCCTGTGCCTTCCTCCCCGAGGTCCAGACGGCAGCACTGGGCAGGGTGTGGGCGCGGCAGGGAGAGGGCTGGGCCCGCAGAGGGCGGGCGGGCCTTGAGGTCGCGCGGGCTGGCGGGACCCTGCTCCCTCTGGTTGCCGCTCGGAGGGCCCCAGGCATTGGCTCCCAGCACCACAGCGAGCTCGTGAGCTTCACGGTCGGTCGGGGCTGGTTCCTTCAGGAGGCTGCTGGTCCGGCTCCCACATGCCGCCGCGTCCCGCAGCTCGGGCCCCTCCTCCACCTCCAAAGCCAGCAGCGGCCGGTGGAGTCCCCACGTGTGTCTGGTCTTGCCCTGCACCTGCCGCTTCTAACTCGTTGAAGGCCCTTGTGACTGCCCAGTCCCTGGTGGCGCAGACAGCAGCGCGCTCAACTACTAACCTGCAAGTCAGTGGCTTGAAGCTCTGGGGGCGCAGCGCCTAAGGCACTTGACTGCTAACCAGAAGGCTGGGGGTTCAAACCCACCAGCCACTCCTCGGAAGGAAGGGTGGGCAATCTCCTTCCGTAGAGATACTGCCTGGGAAACCCAGTGGGGGTTGCTGAGTCGGAGTCGACGCGATGGCAGTGTTTGGTCTTGGTGTTCCTCGGTGGCACCTTGGAAGGAGGCCTGGCCAGTGTTTCCGCCAGGACCCCAGGTGAGAAGTCCTGCCCTGACTCGCGCTGCAGTGAGTCGGGGCCAGCTTCGTGGCAACAGCTGGGCCGCTTTGGTGCCGACACGGGGCCCACCCCTGCAGCCCAGCGCCGCCTCCCACCTCACGGGCAGCTGCCCAGCACCCTGTTCCTCCTGGCCGTGCCACCTAGCCCTGTCACAGGTCTGGGAGCCCCCGGTCTAGGGAGGAGGACGGTGGCCACTGAGGCAGGACTCCCCCAACTGAGCAGAACCCACAATGCCAGCCGGGGGGCAAGGGGAGGCCTGGGCAGGCGGGAGGCGGGGTTGGGCTGAGCGGGTCCTGTTGCCCTGCGCTTAGTGGTGGGACGGCATGGACAGGCTGAAGCTGCCCATCTTCCCTCCTGGAGAGCGTCTGTGGGTGCAGGAGGCACCGGGCCCCAGGCTTCATTCAGGGTCCCAAGCGGGGGCTGTGGCCCAGAGCTAGGTGGCCAGATGACAGTCCTGAGACTAGGGCTGAGTGACAACCGACAACCGTGGGGACCAGGGGGGCTGGGAACAGAGTGGGGTGGTTGCCATGGAAACCAGGCAGTCTCCCTCTGCGTGTTAGATCCTGTTTGTTTCAGACAAGGGTATCCCGACACTCCAGGTGGGAGAGTAATCTTTTTCGTTGTAGCGTAAACGTTTCTGTCACCAGGACTCGGACAAACTGCATGTGTGTGAATGAGGGATGGGCCTGGACTCCACACCCTACCCCACTCCACCCCCCATCAGCCTGGCTGGGCAACACAGGGGTGCTCTGGGGCTGGGTCAAGTGTTCATCTGGGCCCGCTACTTGCTGCCCAAGGACGGGCCCCATGGCTGTGTGCCCAGGACCAGACAGTGTCCACTCATCCCTAAAGTGACCCCAGCCCCAGGCCTTTCCCTGGTACTCGGCTACCTGGACAGCCAACCAAGGAGCCGGGTACCAGACTCTTCCTCAGTGGGGGTTCCCCGAATTGTGGCCACACGTGGGTCCACCTCCGCACTCAGTTACTCCCAGCCCCACACTGCACTCGGGCCATGGGCCACTGCTGGCCACGGCAACGCAGTCTGAAGACGTCAAGTTGGGCAGGCTGTGCCCTCTGGGTGGGGAGGGAGGGGTCACAGTGGCCTGCTGGTCAGAGGGAAAACTCTGCCCCAGCAGCCACTCCCCAAAGACCGCAGAGGCCTCTGCCTTTCAGTCTGGTTCATTTCTTCCGAGTGGCCGGTGGTCAGGACGCCACTCCGCTGGTGGAGCAGAGGCCCCACTCCTTCTCGCAGGGCCCGGAGCGGGCAGGACGGGGAGGAGGGGCAAGCTGTGAGCCTGCAGGTCCTGAGTGCCCCACCCCCCGTGGCCCAGGGCAGGCCAGCAGGCTGGCATGACGAGGAGCATGTGTTAAAGAGAGTGTATCAGCGCTGGCCGGTGGTCCCAGGGAACCTGGACACCACTAGTCCCAACAGTGCCAAGCAGGAGAGAAAGATGCCCTTGGCTGTTGAAAATGGCAGCCCCGGGCTATAGGCCCATGTCCTCTGCATCAAGGGTGGCCTGGCAGAGCTCTCTCAGTGGTACTGGTGGCTCCCAGGGTGAGTGGTGGGGTGGCATGTGTT